AATAGAATTAAATAATGGCTCATTTTATAAAGAAAGGTAAGTGTTAATATTTTAATCTTTTCTTAATATGGTTAAAATATATTCCTTCAATTATTGAAAATGAAGCGGCATAATAGGTTATTTTGTTGGCCACACTGTTTGTATCGCCATATTTCTTACATTCCATTGAATTGTCAGAAGGAATAGTGGAATAAAATGTGGTAATGGCGAGTGCGTCTGTTCCGCATATTTGATGTTGTGATAAAGTTGGGCGTACGCGTCCGCCTTATCAATCGTGACAAAGTTTTTTTATTCGAATATGTCTACTTAATTTTGATATATATACTTAGTTTTTAAAGAAATTTAACCGACAATAAAAAAAATAAAGTGTCCAGTGTACAATGTCGGTGATTCATTATCGGAATATGGAAGTATACGACAGATAATAGAAGATAATCGTGTTATAGAAAAGAAATTTATATATTTTATATATTTCATAACACGTGCAGTTCTTTCATTATATTCGTTTTGTAATACACAAGATAGTATTTTAAACGTGCTATTATATTAGAAATAATCAATAAATGCTTGTAAACGTATAACAAGATAATATGAAATCGGAACGAACATGAAGGTAACTGTGTGTTTCGACAACGTCCGGGTGGTGGTTCCTTGTGGGGATGGAACCCTACTGGTTAAAGATTTAATGCATGAGGCTACTCTAAGATATAAAAAGGCAACTGGAAAGAATGATAATACATTAACTATAAATAGTTTATCTTCTTTAACTGGAGGTGGTCTCTTGGATCCAGATGATAGGTTATGTGATGTAGCTGATGATAGAGAACAGATTGTTGCTCATTTTGTGAGTTCTGATGTTTCGCATGCTGGTGGTGATGGAGCAAGTTCAGTTGGGACAAATAGCCCTGATTTTTTTCATTCAGATAGCAAAGAACCAACTTATACAATTGATACACATTCCTCGATTCCTATCAGTGCTATTAAAAGAGAAAGTACCAAAAGATTATCAATGCATGCACTATCAACCAGAGAGCCATGTTTAACCACATATTCTGCTCAGTCCCTTCCCAGAGAGTCTCGACGTAGAGAACCATTGGGACAAGATGCCAAAGTGTCATTTGAATATATAAATGCCAATATAGAATCAGGAGATCAAGGAGAAATTCGAGAAATTGTGATAAAGAATGAAGCAGGACCACTGGGGCTTCATGTGGTGCCATGTTATGATTTGTTGGGTAATGATCAGGGACTAAGAGTTGAAGGTATTGAACCAAATGGCAGAATTGCTAGAGATGGTCAAATTGATTTGCATGATAAGATTATAAAAATAAATGGTCACAATCTATTGCATATACCATTTTCTAAAGTGCAAGAGATTTTTCGTACCTGTATGACTGAACCATGTTTACAAATTTCTGTAGTGAAACATAAAAAGTCACATGAGAAGTCATTGCATAAAAATCATAGCAATACTAGCGGAGGATCAGAAAAGGAAATTGATGATAATGTTAAAAGACTTCAATGTAGCAATTATAATTTGTTGCAGACTGCTAATACCCGTAAGATTGGACGTATGATAGAGATAGAATTAACAAAAGGGAGTAATGGTCTTGGATTTAGTGTCACGACACGTGATAATCCTGCGGGAGGCCATTGTCCAATATATATTAAAAATATATTACCAAAAGGTGCTGCAGTTGAAGATGGTAGATTAAGGCCTGGAGATAGATTATTGGAGGTAAATAATAAAGAAATGACTGGTAAAAGTCAAGCAGAAGTGGTTTCACTTCTGAGAAGTATTCCACCTGGTGGAAAAGTAAGAATGGTTGTATCACGTCAGGAAGAAATTTCTTCAAGCATTCCAGATTCTCATTCTCATGTTACTTCCACAAGTCAAGCCTCAGAAACTACTGATAATTCAAAATATTGGAATGCATTGAATACATCACCAATAAAAAAGAACGCTGAAGTGCAGGATAAAATTAATACCCATAACTATGATAAGTGCACATTTAAACCAGTGAAATCTTCAGAAGATATTGTTTTATCACCACGTAAAAATCGTATGATATTAACTTTAGATATACCAGTACATGATTCAGAGAAAGCTGGATTAGGTGTTAGTGTTAAGGGAAAGACTACAAATACGGATGAAAACACTAATATGGATTTAGGAATTTTTATTAAAAGTGTCCTTCACGGAGGTGCAGCCTCTAGGGATGGAAGATTAAGGACCAATGATCAATTGCTCAATGTAAATGGGGTATCATTATTAGGATTATCAAACTCGGATGCAATGGAAACATTGAGAAGAGCAATGCTCAATACAAACAGCTCTTTAACTGGAGTAATCACTCTCACAATAGCAAGGAGGATATCTTCCTATGATGGAAATGAAAAAAATTTGTCAGAAAATTTATCCTCTCAGTGTAAACTGGAATCAGCCAACAGTATATACATATCTGATTCCACGAAAGCCAGCGAGGGCAGGGTAAAAGAGAAGAACAATTTGAATTCCCAATCTGATATCTTGGACAATGGTGGACTATTGTCTTGCGTTATGGCATCACCGTGGAATCCAGTTATCGATAGATTAACCGAACAGTATAATAAGAATAGTTTAAGGAATGAAAGTTATTGTATCGCAACTAATAAAACATGGATAGAACCTGCGAGCAATGTGAAAAAAATTACAATAGGACAGCGTGATGATCGCGCGGAACCAGTATTGCTAGAAGATTCCAATGAACCGCAGTGCAATGAAGCTAAACGAAACACGGACGATAAAGATAGTCAGTATTCCGGGGATCCGACGTACGATAGTCAGTTATCCTTGGAGGAATTTAGCTCCTCTTCCAATAAGTTTTCCCGCGATGCTTTAGGTAGGCAGAGCATGTCGGAGAAGCGACATGCTGCTTTAGATGCCAAGAATACGGATACTTATAAGAGAAATAAAAAATTACGGGAAGGCCGCGAAAATAAGAATCAGGAACAAGCGAATCAGAAGCATTCGAATCAATCGGCTGATTCGGAAGATCATACCAGACGGGGGGTTAAATCAGAAAGTTACGACAAGAATAAGAATAAAGCTGCTACCGACGGCAGTACGGCGAGTGAGAGTAATATGAAACGATACGAGAAATCGGTCGATCCTGCTCAATCAGAATACGTATACACTATACCTGGATGTAATAATAAGTACACTTCTCCAAGGAACACTGGCTTGTTGACGATGTGCATGGCGAGATAACGAGCAATAATTTTAAAGACGATCGCGAGGGTTTTCCAAATAGTCGGGGGGACGTGAAACAAGCATCTCTCAATTCAGCTTTGGATGATCGATACAAGCGTTCACGAAAGAAAGGTGGCATACGTTCGATGCTTCGATTAGGGAAGAATAGGAAATCGCTCAATTTCGGTGATAGTATAGAAGCTCGTCACGAATCCAGTAATTATTGCAGTGGAACGATCAATTATATCGCATAATATACAAAAAAAGAGGGGAGAGGAGGGGGGGGGGGGAGAATTTATAACGTAGATACGGAATTCAAAGTATACATAAACATACTTGTGCATAACACCTAGAAACACATATTATACACGAAATATATACATTTTTAACACCTATCGCACGTATGTACTCCGTCGCATCGTATGTACTTAAACATGTATGATTTGTCCCAAAGTGCCTTATATCATCGCAAAGTATAAAAAAAAAAAAAAAAAAAAAAAAAAATTTAATTCTGTATATATATATAATTTTTGTATTTGTCTTCAATTCGTACCGATCATATACATGTATCTATTTTTAAAATAAAACTATGCACGTAACATAAACAGTGTGTAAGTTGAATAACCGATAATTTTAAGACGGGAACTACTACCGATATCTATTAGACAAATATTTGGTCACGATTTTGACAATGTTTAAAGATTCCTTATAAATTCTAATTTATATCCAATTGAAGTAACAATCGATACAAACAGTGTGTTACTAAGCTTAGGATAATCACGGTAAATAGATATATTAATTAAATGGATGGCGAAAGAATTTATCTTCATTTACAAATATATTTGTTTTGTTCTAGCATTTCAGTTAATCCCGAATCAATTATTGTACCAACAAAAGCGTTACAGGGGAAAGATAAATCTTAGAAAACCAAAAATATATTTTAAAAAGCGAGTGTTAAACGAACTTTTAACACCTTTCTTTATTAATCCCAACAAGGATAAAACTTTGGAACAATTCTGCGAAGAGACGAGAACAGAGAAAGTCGAGCATCGTCTTGGAATTTATGATACGATAATAGCGAGAGAAGTTCGTAATTGGTTTGACAATTCAAAAATGGTTGCTGTATTGCATGTGAATAGCATTATGGAACTGGATGTATTCGATATCAAAGTTGCATTATTCAAGAAAAATATGCACTACAAACGTTATGGGTCTCATATCGTACATAATATGATTAAGAATTCGCCTTACGAAAGTCTTGCTCCCTTAATTAGTAATTATACTGCATTTGTATTCAGTTCTGAAATACAAGTACCCACTGTAAACAAAATTATCAAAAAAAGCAAGAAAATGTATATATTAGGTAAGCAATGGAGAAACGATGGCAGAATGATTTTATTAACAAATTTGATTTCTTTTTTTTAGGGGGAGTGTTAGAAGGACAAGTGTTGAAGTATGACGATTTCCTGAAGTTTGGAGAAATGGATATCATAACGGCGCAATCAAATTTAGTTCAAGTATTACAAAATGCAGGAGGCGTTAATCTGACTCGACAACTTACACACCATCAGTCGACATTGTTGACACGACTGAAACAGATCGGTACAAATGAGACAACCTCCAACGATAAAAAATGAATCGGTGCCTATATAATTGCAAAGATACCTGTATCTATAATTTATTATACGTTTATGATGCACACGAAGCTTTAAGTAAAGTACAATTTATTCTCCTGTGCCCTTTGTGACGATAAAAAATAAGAATTATCGTTGAAAACTGAGGTGTCTGCCTCTTTATTACTTTCAATTATTCTCCAATTCCACGAAGGACGGTTCCGCGATAAGGTTAATCGTTGAGCAAGCAGCGTATGCGACGTATACGTAATGTAACTTATCAGTATCAACTTTATCGATTATCAAAACTCGTTATTATAATATATCAAGCCATTCGATGCTTTGACTAGTGATTCATCCCGATATACGGGGACACTGATAATGGTATAAAAATATTTTGATCCATGATGCATTGCATTTGCACTTCTTTTCTTCCATTGCATCCACCCATTGGTCGTGCACGCATCGTTGCAGTAATTGTATCTCTTGATGGTTCTCAGTGACAGTAATTGCAACGAGGATGACACTTGACTCCGTTTTCTCCGCATCTACAGCCTCCGGATGTGTCCCCTTTTCCCTGTGTGAATCACCCGAAATAGGATCAATACAGAAATAAAACAATCGAGTCATGAAAATGTGTACTAATATTTCAATATCGAACAATAACATTGTTACGTATCGATTACTTACTGCAGGTCCCCAACGTGGACCTCTCGTTACCCAGCATATCTCGGTCTTGCACATTGAACAACGCAACCAATCGCAACCCCATTTTTTCATCAAAACAACAGCACACGTGGGACAAGCGAGTGCTTCACCCCTGTCTACCATTTCCTCCAACATCTCGGCAGTCCTTCGTGATTCTTGATCCGTTTCCTTCGATAATCTCAATTCTTGTTGGTATTGTTTACAATTTTTGCCAGTATGAATAGCCTGCGAGGTAAATATTTCTGTAAAACTTTTATCAATTAATTAATATTAATTAATTTTGTTTATTTAAATATTTCAATATTCAATAACAATATAAAATAATTAAACTTTGCTTTTCGACCTGGCAAGTGAGACAATTGTTTGCACCGCACACGGGGCAAAGAAAGTTGTTCACATCGTCGTCGTAGATGCACCAGCCAGGGCAGTCCGGAGTTTTACAGTGGAACGCGTTGTTTCCAGCATTATTTTCCGCTTGAGCGATCGATTTGGCTAAATGTTGCTGGTAAACTTCTGGTTCGACGAGCTATGTAATCAAATCGCGTATTAAATTTTTGTTATAAAATATTATTTTAACGAATTTGAACAATTGACTTACAGCTTTAATTTCACGTTCTTGGAGAGTCGACTCACAGGTGTACTCCGAGTCTCTGTAAGGACATTTCACTTCCGCTTCTTCGCAGTATCGAATCGTATTAGCAATACATGATCTAGGTAAAATTGTTCGTTAAACTGATTTGTACGAAATGTTGTTTTCATCTAATTATTCTAATTATTATACCTGCAGAACATATGCAAGCAATCCCTCAAGATAACTCCTTCACGAGGACCGTATGTAACGAAGCATACGGGACATTCGATCGGTTCGGAGTTCGGAATAACATCGCAGTTTTCCAAAGAAATTAACTCTTCGTACCTGTCCATTTTCACTTCCACTGGTGTGTTTCTCTCCTCTATCTCCTATATGTATTTATTAAGATGAATTTATGAAAATATATATATATATATATATTTTTTTTACCAAAAAAAAAAATAGAAAGTGTCGTGAAAATAAAATATTCAATACCTGAGGTTCTTCAACTTCTTCGTGATCTTGTTCCACAATCTGCAGTACTTCCGTAGACGTGCTCGCGTCATCATTTGGCACATTTGGCACATTTGGCACTTCCTCTGTACCGCTACTTTTTTCTATTTGTACGACACTTTCAGGTCTTAATTCTATAATCGGATATGTTAATCATCAGATATTATTTATTTATTTATTATTTCATTTCTTTCCTTTTTTTTTAGTACCTGGGGCAACGAGATACAAGAATACCGGAGATCCGTTAACAGCCTGCAATTCGTTCAGACTCGCTTCATCGCGATCTGCTAAATTTTTACCTATGATCCATCGTTGCACATTGGTCGGTATTTCGAATTCCGTGTATATCTTCGCTTTCAATTCGGCCACCGTCATCCTGCTCGGCAGCTGTTATTTTATTTTGGCTTAGTACGGCATCTAATATCATCGTACGGATTGGCAAACTTAAGCTACCTTGATTCGAGTGGGCAACGCTATTTACCTGAAGGGGTATCGGTCCCTGGTGGGCAAGCTTGTCTTCTATGTACATATTGACTTTAATCAACTGATCTTTGAGACGAGCTGATCGTTGTCGAATCACGGAACAATGAATTTTAAGCCGTGCCAGCTCCTTCGCCAAACCTGCCGCTTGTTGATGGTGGCCAGATGCTATTGCCGCTTCTAACTTTCTGAGTAATCGGTTTATGGCCAGCGTGTTCATATTTTTTTCCGCTGAATTGTCATCTGTGGAACAGAGGAGAACAGAGAACACGCGCGTTAACGTGGTAAGAGGGAAAAACGCGTGACATCGAGCAATAAATTTAGACGAGTGATTCATTCGGAAGAAAGAAGAAAAAGAAAAAGAACTTAAATCTACTTTAATTAAAATTATACCTTCCTCGCTACCCTCGAACGTATCTTCCTGCGTGGAGAATTTTCGTTGAATCGTGGGCGATGCTTTCGATACCTCACCGCTATTATCAATTTTCGTAACGTTGGCTCGGGACGAATTAGAACTTAGTGGTTTAGGAGAGGGAGGGGGGACGTGCGTATTCGCGTAGATGGATTGCTCGATCACATTGGCGTAAGTGTTCTCGTTGAGCGCGGTCCTCGTCGTTTTTGTCGCTTCGATCTCGGCAAAATCCCGGGGCCGTATCAACTGAAACGTATTCTTCAATCCGGAACTACCCAAGCTTTTCCCGGACGTTTTGTAGAGCACGTTTTCTTGCTTCCAACCCGAGGTGGACGGTTGTTCCACAGATGTAGAGGGTTGATTCAATCTTCGTATATTTCCGCTAGTTTGTACCGAGCACGACACCTTTTGTTTGTCCAGCTCGTAATCGTTTGGCACCGTTATACTCTCGACTTTCGTTACCGCGGAAACGAAATACCTGGTCTTGCCAGGATCTGAAACGTTAACCGTTTCTTTCTCCACGACTGGTTTCTCCGTCACGTCGGTGTTACGTGTCACAATTTTGCCGGGTTTCGAACGCTTTGGTAACGAGTGTTTCATTTCCTTCAACATCTCCTTTAAATCCGTCGTAATTGGATCCTCGATGGTGTTCAATAACGGCGACCTGCTATTACCCGATTTCGTTTTCACGTTCGGTTCGCTCGGACGTAGAGACGTATCCCCGAGGATTATCGATTTTTCTGGCGGCGCGCCGCTCTTTGTCTTAGCGTCTTTCTCCGCCTCCACCAGGATATCGAGCACTTTAGTCACCTTACTTGATATTCCGCCTTCCTCCTCGCGAACTTTATTTCTCCGATTAGCGGGTGTCGCGCTCTCGAGCAACGACCTCCGATCGATGAATTTGAATTCTTTCGCGCGTAGCTGTTTATCGATCTCGTCGAATATGTCCGAAAATTCTTTCTGCACACCGTCGAGACGTTGCTGCTTGTTCAACTTTCTCGGCTCGTCGAAGATGCTCGATGCAACGGAGCGTTCCTTCGACTCCGCGGAATTACGAGGGAACAAGTATCCTCGTAGATCCTCGTTGCTCGTTTTCGTCTCCCTCTTCTCCCCACCTTCCTGTTTCAATCCAATCTCCTGCTGCGTGACAGGCGCGTCCTTGCGAAGGATCGCGCGATCGCTCGTACGATTCGCAGCCAGTTGACTCTGCAGGAACGATATCCTGTTGGAAGTTTCGCTGGCCAATTTATCGTTCTGCTCCTTGCTCGGCCTACTCTTGCTTCCCGAAATCTTCGAGCCACCCGTTTCCGTGTTCTCCACTCTCGCTTTTCCAACCGCCTTTTGCTGCGGTGGAAAATACCTGGAGATATCCTTCTCAACGTGGCCGGCTTGTCCGGTTGCGGAGAATCTCGGACGATCCTTCCAATCGTTGGCATGCTCCGACACCTTGGCGTTCCTCGCCACGTCCCGCTCCAATTTCCCCCCAATTTGTTGATCCCTCGCGTTTCTCGCGAAGAAGTTGGAATTCACCGTGACCTTGGTGATATTGCTGATGGCGTTGAACTTGGAGATGAGAGCCCGGGTGCCACGCCTGGGCGACGAGCTCTCCATCGCGGACGCGACGATGCCTTGAACGAGTTCCTCGTTCGCGTCGCTCCTTCTCTCGAACGCGTCCACGAATCTCGACGAGTTCAACAGCATCGAGGCCCTGGCGCGCGCCTGTTCCTCCTGAACGATCGCTGCCGCCTCTTTGTCCAGCTCGCTGATGTTGGTGAGAATCGAGAGGCCGGATCTCCGTTTCGCTTCCCTTCTTCTGTCCTCGGCTTGCCCGCCACGGTGGAAGAAGCTCAACCTGGACAAAGACGCGTCGACGGAATAACCGGAGGTGGAGGAGGAGGAGGAGGAGGTGGCGGTGGTCGTGTTGGCGTTCGTGGCACCGCATTCTTCTTTTATTTCGATCGTGGAGCTTGTCGGGGCTCGGAGGACATCGCCCCTCCTCGACGCCCCGGAATCCCGAGAATGCTCGAAGACGCTCCGTTTGTACCAAGGTCGTGGCATGGCTGCGCTCAAAGTTCCAACTGCGGTGGTGGCCGCCGCAGTCTGGCTCTCGCGAAGAATGGTCGTCGTGTCGGACGAGCCGCCACTCGTCCCGTCCCTCTTCTCCCGCCTCGCCTCTCGTTTCGACAATAGAACGCCCCCTTGAAGGACCAACGTGTCGTTGCTCAGAGTCTGCACGTCCTCGGTGTCTGCCCGCGTAGTTTCCACCGCGTCCATTCCGCCATCGGTAACCCGATCCTCGCGCGCGATCCTCTCGGGCGGTTTCGGCGCGCGTCGCTTTCGCCTGTTACTGTTCCTCCCTGTTTCGCGCGCATCTACCTCCGCTCCTCTCACCTCCACGGGAGGATTAGGCGCCCGCCGCTTCCCTTTCACGTGCACCCGTCTACGGGTCGAGTCGACGGCGTAACGAGCCCTCCGCTCGTCCAACCTCTTGAGAGATTCCAACAACGTTCGAGGATCGGGGGCCGGTAGATTGCCGCAAGAATTGAACGTGGCAGACGGTTGCAGGGAATATCTGGCCGTTATGTCCCTTCTGTGAACGTTGGCGGGCAACGTGGACGCCGCGTCCCCCGACTCGTTCTCTTTGTTGCTGCCCGCGACTGCGACTTTCGAGGCGCCGGCCGCGAACGGGCCAACCTCGGCCGCCTGCTCGAGCGCGTCTAGCGAGAATCCATCGCATCTGGCCAGGGTGCCCGTGTGAAACGCGAAGCTACGCACGGTGGTGGTGCTGTAAAACGTGTCCACGCTCTCCACGCTCGACGACGCGCTTCTTCGGTCCCCCCCGCTCTTCTCGCTCCCCCCGTATTTCGTATCGTCGATCGTTCTCCGCCTCTTCTCAACGGTCGAGTCCCGATTACCGGACCGGATTTTGAACCATTTGAACAGGGAGAATCTGGTCGCGTTGCCACCACGTACCTCGTGCACGTTACGCGAATCTACGCGGCGATCAACCACGGACGCTTCCGTCCCGGCCGACGTTCTTCCTTCTCGGTCGGTGATCCGTACGCCATTGGGGAATGTGCTCGCCTCGATGCTGCATGCGGCTCGCAGTACCATTCTTACTCACCGCATATTCCCTCTCGAAGCCAACTCCGCCCCACTCCGCTCATCCACTGCTCCGCATAGTTCTTTATTTAGATTCTCACTCACGCGCTTTTAACTTCCTTCCAGTTCGTCTCTAACGTTAAAGGGAAACCGCGTCCGATCTTTTGCAAGCAAATCTTGTTGCGCCGATTCGTATTCTCAAACGTCGCGTATCCCCTTTTCCTCCCTCTCGAAACCAAAGTCGTTTCCTCTCGATCCCAATCCTCTATGCCGTTCTCTCTGTCTAACCTCGCCTACGTTTTCGGCGTGCGAGGGCAGCGAGAGTGGAGGTTCAGCAGACGGTCGCAAGAACGGTTGCCGGGTACGGACGCAAACTTGCGCGGAACATGGTGTTCCGATCGAGTTACGCGTTTCCCCGGCGTGTACGTGCGAGGAATGTATCGCGGAACGGTAAATCGACTGACGAATTTCGCCGCGACGACCGTCGCCGACGCCGCCGAACACGTACGACAAAGATACTCTTCTCTTCGCTATTAATAGACGGGCCTTCTCCTGCCTTCGGTTATTTTCAAGCCCGCTCTTCTCTCTCTCTCTCTCTCTCTCGCTCGCTGTCTGCGCGCCCGCTGTCCGAAATCAAAACAGAGAAATACGGCGCGCGCCTTTTCAACCACCACTGTCCTCTCCTCCTACCGTCTTCGCGATTATTCTTACCATTCGTAGAAAATATTCTTCTTCTTCTTTTTCTTTCGAAGGAAGAAGTTGATTTTCGAACGAGCTAACTCAAAAACTAACGATCGGTTTAAAGTTTAAAGAGGATGGGATTGCGTAGAGGGGGGGGGAGGGGGAGGGGGCGGGGGGAATATTTTCGACAGGAGGAATATTCACGACATTAGTTGGACATTAGTTATATCTCGCTATTTGTTTCATATTTCCGTTTCGCGTTTCTTTATCCGACGTGGAAACGACGGATCCTAAAATAGGGGCGGCATATAAATCACGAATGACGTGAATACTTAATAGACCGTGTTCCGAATTTATATACAAGCAAACAGCTTAAACCGTCCGATTCACATCGTCGCGTAGATTTGTACCACGGTGTACGTGCAAACTCCTCGCTCTCTCGCCCACGGTATTATTTTGGGATTTGACTAATCCCGTGAGAGGGCATGGACCAGCGCGTGCGATGATCAGCGTCTCGTTTTTCGATACCGGCGCGGCTAAGTGTCAAGCTCGTAAGTTTTTTGAAAAATATCCAAAAATCTCGTGCGATATACGATTCCATTTTACGCGCACGTATATATATATATATATATATACGTGTGTGTGTGTGTGTGTATAACTCGGGACACTTTATTGTGCATTTAAGGCTTCAAACCGAGTTGGCGCTACCGAGTTCCATTCGGATTCGTCAGTCGTCGTATATTATTTGCGATCTACTGAAAATAACGCTACGTCCGGTTTCCCGCCATATTCTCTATTGTAACAGAAATAAACTATGTTTCAGGTCTTCGCTCGATAAACGATACCCTCCCAAATAAACTTGCGGGCTTGGCCGTTTTCACTTCTATTCTCCGATAATAATATAGCCCCTTTCTGCTGGTAAAAAATCTTGCTGGAAGAATCTTCCTCCCTTTCGATTATACAGGTTGGTAATTAAAATTTAATCACGGTCGGGGAAAATGTTTATGAAAAATATTAATTACGCGATATCGAAAACTACTATCGATTATTCGTTAAGATATATATATAAAAATATAAAACGTCACGTTTGAACGCGAAACAAGAAGTACTTGTACGTACTCGTGTGGGATTCTAACGTGACAGTTATCGAGGCATGTAGGTGTTTCAGGATTGCCAGCTATTATCTTCTCGGTTTGACTCATCGCTACCTGAGATAACGCCGATCATAGGTCACAGATAACATGGATGCTCGCACCATAGAAGCAATTCTAGGAATTAGTGGGGATAACTGGCCGACAGTTAGCGAAATGCTATTGTAACAAGTCGCTGCAAGGCGTATCATTGCACCTTTGATGGAGTTAACTACAATAGCGGTAATACGTAATCTTTAATACGACATTAAGGCGCGATACCAAGCTCGTCGATTGCAAGCTCCTTAAATCACTCCCTTCTTCTTTCACTCTTGCTCTTACTCCCTCCTGGACTGAAACCCAATCCTGGATGATTGATCACACACAGATATGATAGTTTTCTCTCGTCTCTATATTATTTTCGAAACCGGTATCGAAAGCTTGCCCACTCGTCGAGAAAATTTTTCGGTAGTTTCTCCGGGTAAACCCCCTCCCCTCCCTCCGCTCATCTTTGAAAATTAACCAAGCGAGTATTTTTAATTACATTTATCCCAGAAGGAAGAAAGGCATCAACCCCCGCCGGCCTTCAACCTAAGTACTCAGTTTACTCAAGAGTTTGCACCGTGGCGGGTATCTCGAAAGCTAAAGCGGTTTCTCTGCAAACGTAACACGCGCCCGTGTCCCGGGTGCAGACGCATTCGCGTGCATTTATTTTTTTGCTCGCACAAACGGCGATGTGGCACAATACTACAGCGGGGGGAGGGGGGTAGAAAAACCGGTGGAAAAGATCCATCCGTGATAAAAAGAGGAAGAAGAAAAAAAAAGGAAGAGGGAAGAAAGAAGGAAGGGGGAGGAAAAAGAAAAAAAAAGAAACGAAAGCTCCGCTCTGGAAAAACACGTTGCAACGTGTTTCCATATTTTATTTAATTACTCGACAACGTTCAAAGTCGCTCCCCCAACGGGCCGGGATTGCTGCTTCCCCATTAAGAGGTTTCGTTTAAACGAGCCGCAAGATACGTAACTCTTTTTCGTCACTCTCTTTTCTCTTTGAAAGAGAAAAGTCACCGGCGTGTTACACAATCCGACGTTATCTTTTACGCCGCGGTTTAAATCAACCCCGTGGAGGGTTTTCCTCTTATCTTCGCCCTCCTTTCCCGAGCCGAGCAACCGCGTTCGTTCGTCGTAATCGATAACAATGGTACAACACAGATTGTGGAACATCACGGGGCGTTATAGTTATGCGTTTCTGATGGCGAGGCCCTCCCATGATTCCCATCCACTCTGTCCCCATCCAGCCTGACATTCTCGGTGGAAATTATCGTTCGTTCCCGATTTCGTTCGATTATTGCGAGCAATGAGACGGCGAAGAGGGAACGACGTCGCCGAATAAAGTGTGCACCCGAAACGAGGCAGCCCTCGAGTGGAACACGCTCACAACCGGCCATCACGCACACGTACGTGTTCACGACGCCATCGTGTCAACGTGCGCGTGCGGTCTTAGCTCACTTTTATTGTCGGAAGCTGAACTGGAGCGCAAGAGTCTACTACCACTACCACTGTTACTACCCCTCCTCCAGTTCTTCTCTCCCTCTCTCCTTCTTCCCAACTCTTTCTTCAAGAGTTTATTTCGCGAATCCACCCACCACCCCCACCCGACTTGGCTCGAACCCTGGCTTCCACGCTACGCTAGCAACCCCATATCGCGTCCTGAATACAAATCGCGATGCTTCCTTTTCGCGAGTTTCCCGAAGACTTTCCCGAACGCGATCATTACCATTAATGAAGAAGAAGCGAACGAACGGGCCTCTTCTCGGCCTGTCCCTCTTACCGTTTCGTTCGAGTGGCGAACCCCTCGAGGAACCTCTCGTGGTCTTTCCTTTCTCACCGCCTTTCTTCCTCCCCCTCTCTTCTCCCTCCCGCATTATTCAAAGTACGCGGAGGCGCGACGAGAGGGAGGGAGAAGTTTCGCGGTCGATCGTAATGCACGATTATTCCCTCCGGCATCGAGGCGCATCGGTTATACATCCGATGCGATTTTTACAATTTTTATGCCAGATTCCCGGCAGAGTACGGGCGCAGAGTTACTCGGCCGTACAACCAACGACGACGACGACGACGACGACGACGACGTGTTGTTGAACTTTGGAAAGCGGTGGCGGTGGCGGCGCCGTGCCATCGCTTAAAATTTAGTTACCCGGTCGGATCCGGCCGATGTTTTATTCAGCTACGTGCGCGGGAACAGCCGCGCTTATCCCAGGGCGACAGGGATACAAATTAATCGGGATGCGGAACAATTTTTTTTTTCCTCGCCTTCATCAACTGTTGGCGAGTGGCGAAAAGTTTGTAAAAATGGGTCCGATCTTTCGAATCGTTGAATTAGAATTAAAATTAAAGCGTGCTCGACCACGCTTTGCCGGAGAAATTGCAGTTGCGAAGAAAGGGGTTTGCGTTTCGATAGGGTAGATCGACTATAAGGTAATCGTTGATTTCGTTTTTTTCTTTTTTTATTAATTAATGGTAAGCGTCTTTTTTAGACGCCCCGATCTTGTACAACTCGATCATATTTTAGGCATATTTTAGGCACCGTTACGTTGGAACACCGAAGCGTTAGTTTAACTGGAAACTTCTTTTCCCTTCTCTCGCGAGGATATGCAAATGAGCGCCAGTCTTCGATGATTTTGAATTCTGAAACTGTTTGATAAGAGATCGGGAGGTGTTCGATATGGAAATTTGATCGCGTTCCCGCCCGAACTTATTGCGAAAAACGCGTACGTCCGAACAATTCGATTCTTTTTCCTATTTCTATTTTATCGTATCGTGTTCTTAACCCACGAATTCGTGTTCAACCCGATAGGCAAAAGTTGTTCGCTATGAGAATCGAGAGATTTTTTCCTTTCTCTCTTTTCTTTTTTTTACTATGGCGTCATACGTGACGCCACGCCGATGTTAATATAAAATATTTTTTATTCGCTCGAATAACTTTGAATTTGCTTATATTACTTTTTTTTTTTTTTTCACTCTTTCGTCTTTATTCATATTCCCCAGAAATCGAAGGACGAATTTGTCTCATAATTTGAATCGTGCGATCCGTACGTTATTTTAAACTTGGTTGTTTCGGTTTATTACGTTTCTAAAACTCGCAACGAACCTTGTCTCAAGTTCGATGGATTTTCCGTAACAACGTTATTACTACGTTACAACGTAGGTATTTCCCCGAAGCTCTGGGAGGAACTGAGAAAACGGGGAGGAGGAGGGGGGGGCGGTTGGAGAGCAGTAGTTGGAAAGCCTTGTACTCCGCACGATCTGTTCATCTTAGAAACAGAAGGACCTGCGATACGTGAGGGAAAGTACTTCTTAGACGGACTTGGACCTGTGTGTCGGGCCCACGAACCCTTTGGCTATCTCCTTAGTTACACCGTTGTTCCGTACGTGAGCAAGATAGTTAGATTGTCTTCTCGAACTTATCCACTGTTCGCGAAATTAGACCCCCGGCTTCCCTCTTCCCCATACGTAGCACCGCAACCTGTGAGCGTGTTCCCGCAATATCCGCAGTCGACCGCCGATTCGAGCTGTTAGCGCGATACAGGAGGAGCAGAGGGGCGAGGATACGGCGAGATAATCGGTGATAGGCGCGTGGCAAATTACATTCGCCCGTAAATTTGTTTCGCGGCGAAATAAATTATGAATCGCGCGAACCG